GGGGGGGGGGGGGGGGCGTAGTTTTGCGGGTGGTGCCAAAGAGCATGCAGACTCACGGCCATGTTCTGGTAGATTGACTTCGGATCCTACGGAATTTATAAATCTGTTTCAAGACAGAGCAGAGCAATCAGGATTTATCACCTTTACAACTGGAGTAGGAAGCCTCATTCGCAAGTTGGACCGAATAAACAAAGCATCCAAATATATCCTCATCAGAGAGTAAAGTTTTTAAACGACAGGCGATAAAATGTACAGGGATCGTTAAATTCGGGGAGCATAAATTTCCTTTGCGTTTTGATACAGTCAAATGCCTTTACAAACCCATTCCAGCATTTAATCATTTTCTGGAATGCTTCGGCTAAACGACCTTAGGACAGTCTGCCTGTCCTGGCACCCAGGCTGCACTAACTCTTTGAAACCGCAGGTGCCCGTGAATGTGTGTGCACCTTTCCAACGGAAAGATTCGGCTTTTGCGTAATTTCAAGACAGGTTATACGCCGACCAGACGCATGGCCGAGTGACTGCACGCACTTGAAGTCTTCGGTGGGAGTGGACGTCTGCAGATTTGACGTTTATTATCAGCACAGGTCGTTCCATGTCCCCACTCACTACCACTGTTGTCCACTGCCTTGGCTGACAGCATTTATACCTGCCCACATATGCGCCGATTAGCATAAGGTAGGTAAAACTTGGCAGCCACTACTGCGTGTAGTGCTGCCATAAAATTAAAGCATCGGATTGAATCGAACATTCCAATTGAACATTGGCCAATTTGACTGCGACAACTTAGCTACGCTCTCCCAAACAATTTTTTGAAGGAGAGACACGTCTTGCTAACTTTCATGAGATATTCCCACAAATTCTTTCCAGTAATACTATGGATAAGTCTTCTAGACTTTTTAACGAAAGGCTTTTTGTTCTAATTGCACAACCCTTCATCCACAATCATGATGGCATGATATTTCGTTCAAAAGAAAATTTAAAAAATCCTCAAGAGGATCCCAACAAAACTAAATATAATCTAAGCTAGAACAGAGGTCAGAATTCTTGCATGGCGAACAAAGGGGGCGAGTAGAATTGAATCGCTCCTTCCAAAAAAGGCAGGCAACTAACCCCGTCGGCTGAAACGGAGACGCATCCTCGAGAGAGTGCTGGCGTAGTGGTTTTGATGCTGGTTGGTGCCACTCGATCTCAGAGCGGTGGAGTCAGTGGTATCTGGTACAATCCGCAGGTTCTCAGGAGGTAAGTAGCCAACCTGACAGGTTGAATGTGACACCACCTTCCACAGTTCTGGATTCCTGTAAAACAACGCCAAGTTACAGAAGGTTTACGGTGTTTCTAAACCTGCTCGAGCGACGCAGACGGAAAATTTTGTAGCAAAACTTGTAACGACACTTGGCCATTATTATCAGATTTATGAGAAGGCTCCACTATGAGAGAAGATTATGCGGCCAGTTATTCAAACATGATTGACTTTGTAATTTTTCTTCAGCATCAGAAAAAAAATTACGTTGGAAAAATCTTAACGAAATTGAAAACAGTTGATAGGGGCCTAAAATGAGATCTCTGTGTACGAAATTTGACGTGTAAATAAGACATACATCTATTAAACTGTGAATTAAGCAAAAAATAATAAATCTGTAAAAGCATGATAATCCATTTTTATGAAGTAAATTTACTTAACACACACTCCAGTGATTCCCACAGCTCACTCTCCCTCCTCTGCTTAGAAAGGAATTTCAATGGGGTTTTTTAGAATTAAAATATATAAATTACCCAGAGAGGCTTAAGGTAAGTCCCTGAAGACGTCAAGCAACTCATCACGTTCACTACCGAGGTCTCAGAGGGAAATAAATCACCACAATCGCCAAAATGTTTTGATATTCGAATGTCTCCGAAGCCCAGAAACTACTGAAGAGAATAATTCAACTGCCGCTCAAGAGCTAAAAATGCAATTGCCCTCAGGTCAGACTCACACTGTTTATTTTGTTGTTTTAAGCCCAATTAATTCGTTTCTGATAGGAGCTGGCACGACTTTATCAGAATCTGATTAGGAGCACGTCACATATTTGTGACACCGAGCTCATTTTGGATGGTTCCCAACCTAACGCGTTTTTTGCGGATGTAAGGAATCAATCTGACTTGCGCTCATCAGACGGCCTCAGATAACGAAAGGAAAATCAAAAAGTTCCAACAGCTAATAAATTGTAGTAAACGATGAAGTTGTGCGGCTTAGACGTAAAAATTCGTGAAAATAGGTGCAAAAAATTATTAAAAGAGCTAATATTCCTTCAGCAATGTACAAAACTTGCATAACCCAAAGAGGCGTACTTTTTGCTCAGCACATAGACAGTCTCACCAACACGGACACGCAGGAAGGTCTTATTGTTTTGTTGTGAAGAGCCAGTGGTGTCATCTGCACCCGTGTCCGCGTCTGTGTTGCCATTTTGCTGGGCATTCTCAGTAAGCAGGCTGCGAATGTCCTCCACTGTGCGTGGAAAAGTCGACTCCGTTTCCCCGCTATCCTCCACCACGCACCACGCCTGGGGACTCAGGTGGGGCAGCATTTCTAGCAAAGTTTGGGATCAACAAAATAACATAATGAGATCGTGATCCCGAAGAAGATACAATTAGACAAGAAAAACATTCCCTAAGAAGGGGTGAGCAATGAGATGGAAAAGAGTGTTCGTTGAAATTAAAATGCACACCGATAGACGTCACAGCTGTCAAGTTATTCAAAGGGAGAATTAATAGATTCCGTCTACAGCTTTTACACGTGCACTGGGCATATCATCTAGCAGATTCTGAACAATACAATGGGTAAGAAATGTCGAATATTTAACATGCGAAACATAGTCCCTAGGGTCAACGAGCTCTGGCACCTCGCTTCAGGAAAAAGTCCGTCGGTAGGTTTTCAAATGTGAAGTGCGGAGCCTATGGTAGGCGATTGCATCACAATTCATTGGGAAAACAAGTAGTGCCTTTCTGTAAGTGGGGGGGAAAATTCACGTATCGTAACAATGGGCACTAACGTAGTAACGAGAGCGCATCTCATTATTCTACCAGGGAAATGAATATGATCACTTCAACTTCGAGCAAAAATATGACACAATTGACAAAGTTGAACATATCTTCTCGATGTGGGTAAGGAAGGGGCAAATTACTTGAAGTTCCAAGTGTTTATATTTCAAAAAGGCTGTATTATATAAATAACGAAAGTAAAACGAGATTATTTCAAAACCCTGAATACTATGTGCATGAATAGAACAATCGCGTTCCGTAGCAACGCTTCCACAGTCAATAAGGAAATGTACCTCGTTCTCTGTCTTAGCTACAGCAGCAGTTCCATCAGGAAAAAAAGTTGTGATTTCAAACAAGATGTGAAAATAGATATAGCATTTTTACTACCAATAAATTTGAGTGGACACGAGTGAAGATTAGACAGGAAACAGGAAATAAACCCCAAATTCTTACAAAATAAACTTCCAGGTGCTTTCCTGATTTTACTGCTCACAAATCTAACCACCAAGGTACCTCAACGTTGAGATGAAAAACTGCTGAGCTTGCATAAAGGGGGTCACCTATTTTTGCATAAATTTGGTCCTACAAGACACTCTTATGATAATAGTTACTTAAAGTTCGATAAAAGGCAGTGGAGCGCCCATTATAAAACATTACGGGCTAGACATACACTGCCACAGTAGCAAAGGAGTTAGCTTTGCTTCAGTTAACTGTCAAAGTAATTACTGATAATAAATGAAGACAATTATTTCCTGAGTGAAAAATTACCGTTTAGACGCAGTCATCTTAAAATAAAGTCGTTCCCACTTCCAACAGCACGCACCTGTGACGTGTTCAGCGTTCACACTCTAGGATTGACTAACCACTCTTAACAGCGTCGGGGCGTTAATGAATGGACCCAACTGGCCAGAAATGCGTATCAAATGGCCGAATGATGTAGAACACCTAATTAAAGCAATGTGAGTCAGAATACTGGCGAAAAATACGCAGTCAGTTAAACTTTTGTCTAGACATGAATAGGATGACTCCTGTAAACTAATCCACGCGTGTTCTACAAACCATGATAATGGAACTAGGAAATACTAGTTTTTAGACAGATAGTGAGTTATGGGAAATTCCGAAAATCCTAGCATTTGTTAGTACGAGCAGACGATGTATGTTGAATGAATAGCGTCCGAAAGCCGTGTCACGAGAAGAGCTGAGGTGCTGGTGCTTTTTCAATGACTCATTTCACCCTTTTGCGTTGGGCTCTGTGAAAGAGAAGGGCTTCAAGAGGCTCGAAATTCAAGACATGTGCATATTAGCAAATTTAAAGGCAAAAACGACCGACACGCTAGCCAGCCAACCAAACACGTTCGCACCTTTGGCTGATGGCACCTACACCTTCGTTGCAGGTCACATAACAGGTGTTTGAAGATTGGGTATCCAAATGGAATAGATAAATAAGTTCAAGGAATTTGCCAAGAAAATTTTGTAAATCAACATAAATGCTATAAGTGACTTTTGGCAGCGGAATTCTACTATAAAATCATCCGATTATCATCGGCCATGTAACAAACCAATGAGCAGTGGAAAGTGGGATTCAGGGACAAAAAAGTTGTTCCCCAAAGCCAAATGCACAAGACCCAAAAGCGCGCTTGAACAATTTGACAGCTTATAATGGTTGCGTATACGACTCATGCAGTTATGCAAGGTGAGTTCCTAAAGCAGACATTTTTAGCACTTGTCGTCATCCAAAATTCGCATCAAAAGTCTTATTAGAGTACGACGTGTACCTATCGTTAACGATTTACTGATGAACCAAACCGTTTTACGGCAGTTGTCAGCTAAAACAGCTACCAAAAGATTTTCGGGATACCATACAGAGTCGTTTCATTTCCGTAAAAAGTATTTATTTTTTGAAATAATACGAGGTTTTATAATGTCATAGCATTTAAGTAGTGTATTTCTAGTCTATGAAAAAATCTGTTGGAATGGCAATATAATAAATTAATAATAACAGTCTTAAGGAAAATCCACTGATTGTCCACAGGTTAAGTGAAGAAAAAACAAAAGGGCACACATCAAGTGATAGGTAAGGCAGTCACAATTTGAGAACCCAAATTTGATATTAATCCATCATATAGAATTTCTTGACGTTAAAGGAAAAGCCAAGAATGCAAAAAAGCGGATTAGATGTTTCTTTACCCTAACAACAAGTTGGCTCGGGGAGTTTTTTCAGTCCGATTTGTGCTGCGTCATGGTGCAGTTTTCCTTGTGAAACACGGATATCATGCACAGACAACCAGGAGTAGAAATTTGACTGGATTGACAGATAACCTTTAGCAGCACACAGAGGCAATAGCGGAAAGTAAGACAGATAAATCAGTTTGTCGGCATGGCTTGACCCGTTGTTTTTAGGCGACTGAGAGCAGTAACTAATGTGCAGACAAAAGCTGCATAATGAAACTAACACATGACAAAAATATTTCACAACCCTGCATATCATAAAGGAGAGAGCTTAGAAACCTGGATTTACTCTACAAAATGGGCGCAAAGGATCAGTAATCATAAATTCTAATAACCGGCGAAAGGACACACACAGACATTTTTTCCATGTAATTTAACTATAGCTTCGCTAATTCCCTTCAGACGATGGAATGAGAAACCGACCGGACAAATAAAGTAGAAGTGACTAACCGACGAGCTGAGCGAAGGTAGGGCGAGAAGTGGGTTCATGATTCCAGCAGGCACGAATAACAGCATCAAAGACAGCATCCGGACAGGCGTCCGGTTGAGTGAGACGACGACAGTTTGGCACATCGACAGCCTCGAGGATCTGGCGACCTGAGAGGCCCGCCCAGGGGACAAAACCGTAGGTAAACATCTCCCAGAGCGTCACCCCATAGGACCAGACGTCACTGGCGCTGGTAAAACGCAACTCGTGGATGGCCTCCAGTGCGCACCACGCGATCGGCAGGCGTAGGTTCGCGTTAAAGTTGGTCTGGTAGTAGGACTTGCCCAACTGCAGGGCTCGACTCAGTCCGAAGTCACCAATCTTCACCTGCAACGAGATGATGAACGAAACAAGTGACTCGGAATGCACGATTGGACGCAAAATACTGATTGAATAATCTCTGCGCTTGAAAAACACGTTTTTGTGGGCCTACAGCTCTGCAAAGGCCCATTAGAATATCGAGATCAAAAAGTGAATTTCGAGGGAGTGAACGAATAAGTAACAAACCTTTTACAACCGCATTATAAAACAAGGGGATATGAGACAAGTGTTTGACAATAAATTTATGCACTAACAGCAGATTACTAGAATGAATGTGCAAACTTGACCGGCTAATCATGAGAGATATATTGAAATAACCTCATGTCTAGGAAAACCCGAAGGTTTGAATCGAGATACAAGATACAGAAGCGTTAATTTCGGTTTTTAAACAGACCAGACCCACAATAGCGTCAAAAGGCATGGGAAATTTTGCGATGCATCAGAAACCTCCCAAGTAGCAGCTAATTTGTTCTAACCCTTTGCAATAAAATTTTGAAAATCGCAAGCGAAAAAACTGAACATACGCACCTAAAAGTTGTTCCTACAAAATTTATTTAAGCATTTCAGGAAATCAAAATTCAGAACTATTGTTTACAGAAGAGTCCACTAAAAAGACAAGACTCAAATAAGAGCCATTATCAGTTGGAGCTGTTAAGATTCCAGTATATATAACAGCCACCGAGTAGGAAGATAAGGAGAAAAAGGTTAGGCCCACGGTGTCTCTGGTCTAAACCCGAGTGACTGGGTGAAGGAGGAGGTTGGTTCATATCGAGAGAACAGGACGAGTTATTAAAAAGTAAAGTATAATGAATTTAGGGCATATAATTATGCCAAAGTATTATAATAGTGCTAACACAAGCATAAAAATTTTACTAAATATCGAAAATCTTCAAATCTTGCGATTTACATGTTTTAACTTACATTAAATTTCAAAAAAACACTAGCTTTACATTCCTCTGCAAACCATCAATGAATGCAATGACCCTCTTTTCATGCGGTTCATGCAATTTGCAATCCTTTTTGACGAGATCTCAACCAAGCATTAGAAGTCCGAAGACTGAAAAATCTGACAAACCACTCCCCCACATTTCCGGTGCAAAGGCAACCACAAGCGACAAAGAATAAGAAAAATTCGTTAAAATTTGTATGATCCGTGGCCTAAGTCACTGAAGGCGGGGGTAAGACGTCGAAAAATACAACATGGTTGATAAGCCATGTCACATTTTAAAATCGTGCATAATACAGATAGCTTCTGACACTTAAACAGACATTGTCGCCATCTTTGTATAAGATGCCCCGGATAATCTTCAAACGACTACCTCAATAGAAAACAGAATGCAACGACCTGTAAGTAAAATAAGAAGTCGGACGGCTAAACAAAATAAATTTGGCTAACAGTCGGCCTAGCAAACTCCAAAAGGAAGAGCCAAAAAGGGCTTCTTAATTGTGATAGTGGAGGCCCATTTTGGAGCATCAGTGAATGGACTCCCTTGTAAATTGTAGTTAAAAATAGCGGTCACAAAGTCTTGCAATGCAATGAGGATGAAACAAGCAATTCACGTATTGGTCAGCAGTCGCTGTTACAGCGGAAGACTGATCAGAAAGAGCTGGAAAGCGTAGTCAAAAAAGTGAAACGCACTTCAATCAAATCCGTAAAGCATAAGTTAGTCAATGGCGAGAATTAACAGGCGTTCCATGAGTGAAAACACTATTGAATCATGAAAAGGTAAAAGGTGGGTATTGACCGTGGTAAAGACACCACACCTCAGTGTTAAAGAAAAAAGATGGAAAGTAGAGAAAATGAGTTAAATACTTAGGAAATAGTGCAGTGAGACCACTTTTATGCTTGAAAATTAACAGTTCAAACGTTGACAATCAAGCTTCTATTATCCAAGCAACAATCAAGCACCCCATTACATAATCGAAAAAATCTGGCAGGGTACTCAAGAAGGACGGGAGATAAGTTGGGACATTACAAAGTGAATAGCCAATCAAAGTGGAGAAGTTCGCCCTTTGTTAATGGAAGAGGGCAAGCGCCATAAAATTAAGTGCCATGCGAGTGCATCAACCTATTGGCCATTTCTACATTAAAAAACGTAGACCATCCAAAACAGATGGTTCAGCGGCAAATTACTGAATGAGATTAATTCCATTTATTCACTGGTACCAACTGCAAAAGACATCACGCACACCTGAAATGCCCTAAAAGGGTAATTAAATCCATTCTTTCATTCAACTACCAAACCTTATTGGCATCCACTGAGTCTGAAATAAATTCCGGATAGAATAACCTCCATGCACTTAAAAAATGCAAATTTTCCAAGCCTCATAAAGCTAAGTGCAGTAATATCCAAGCTAAAAAGAAATGATCATGAAAATCACAAAGGTTTTTTTCTGCTAAACCCTTCCATCGGTATTGACTAAACTAGCTAAAGTCACAAAATTGCCTTTTTATGTCCTGAAACTTTCCAGGAAGAATTTGAAAGGTGTGAAACTTCCGGAGTTTGAATCCTAAGCACTAACAATTATAACAGCCAATTGAAACCGCTTCCTCATAACTGTTGGCGACTACTAAATTGTAGCTTTTGAAGATCATTCGCATGAAGTTCTGCATCCTTCACGCGTGTGAGAGTCTGATTGCCAGCATCTGAATCATAAATGAATCCACTGATCCATATTTACGAAGGATTTGCGGTTTCAAAAGAAGAATTCAGTGTTACAGTTGATTACGCTTCCGAAGGCAGTCGGTATCTAAAAAAATGAGGCAGTTTGAAATGCGTGGAACCTTTCCAAATGTGGCCACGACATGAGCACAAAGTTTTCCGAAAAAAAACCCTATCCATAACCCTGGAATTGAGGCAGGGATAGTAAGGCAAGTCCGGAGTTTCGCATTTCTTGAAGCGGTTCAACAGATTGAAAGACGAAACCATTCCAAGTGTGTCCATAATCTGAGCATGCCTTTTCCTAAAACAACTCATATCCAAGCCAAAGTATTGCTTACAGCATCCAAAGGAAATAAAATAAATTGGTTTCAGAGTTCTCGCAGCTGTCCAGTAGCTTGAATGATACGAGACCTTTTCAAAGGGTCCATTGCTCCAAAACTACTGATGCGCAAAGAAACCTGAGACAAATCATTTTCAAATGATACAAATTCGAAATGTTTGGATCTTCTCAAGCCAACCAGTGCCTTAAAGGATGTAAAACTACCAGTATTCCGAAAACTACCGATTTTTAGTGTTAAGTTGGAAAAGGGCACACAAATGTCGAAGTGCTGCAAAACTTCTAATAACTGTTGTAAATTTAAACATTATACCCTATCCTTGGCGAACACGAGGATGTTGCGTGCAGCGAGATCGCGATGCACCAGACGCTCCTCCTCGAGGTAGGCCATACCACGTGCAATTTGGATGGCGAAGTTGTGCAACGTGGCCACGGGAAAAGAGGTACGTAGATCGGGCTCGCGCAGACACTCCAGCAAAGAACGCAAAGGCGCAAGTTCGGTCACCTAACAGAGCAGAGAGGAGAAAATGACTATTAATGATTGATGTTTGAACATATTAGTTGTAGAAGAATGCATCATCTATGGCAGCTTCGGCTAACCCACTCCAAAAGAATAAAATTCATCCCGATTCCGTCAGCTGAATTCTACATTCAAATGCTGTAAAGAAGGTAGTCGATGTGGGGGGCTGAGTCTGCGGGGAGCCATTCAAATCGCGCCAAATATCGACGAATACATCAATCTCGGGTCATGCAAAACCGCTAGCAATGGAGTGAGATTAAAAGTAACCAAATCGAAACCATTCATCATAAGACAGTAAATTATGAGTGGTCAGAATACTAGACAACACTCCAGGCTGCAAAAAGATTGAAGTCACCCAGACAGGAGTAGCGAAACTGGAGCGAAGTTAGGATGTTGCTCAGAGACGCTGTCTGGTAACATAAATTTTACTGAACAGATTTTCCCTTGTACTATTAGTACAAGAAAAGTTAAAACCACATAATGTCATCTGACCTCCAGCAAGCCGCAAGTGAATCACAACCAAAGCTTCAATGTGTTAAGAATCCCAAAGCCGGGTGGACCTTTCAGGAAATGAATTGAGCAGGTTTTCCTTTCTCAACAGTGTTCCATGGGGATCAGTCACATCAATGTATTTCCATGCTTTAACAATAAAAATTGCACCATTTTAGTTTTCTTATTACATTTCAACAAACATTTCACTCAAAACTGCCATCATTCAAATGAGTCCTTAATGTGCCTGGACTCCATTAGGTGATGAATGTGAAACGCTCATTGGGCATATCTTCTGATGCTATGACATGAGCGCCCAGTGCTCTGGAAAGCAGTAGCAACGACTAATCTATGCGAAGATTACATCAAGTATCTGAATTGACTAATATGTATAAGCGTTAAGTGTAAAATTGCCACATGTAGTTTAGTAGGAGCACTCGAAAAATTCCTAAAGCATCGAAGGTTGAGTGACAAGTACAAAAAAACTTACATATCCAACCTCATCATGCAACTTTGACAAAATAATCCAGGATTAAGTTATATTCTAGGGGTATAATCTTTTCCAAATTCGCCAAAACACATGACCGTTGTCGAGCTTTCTAGCATACAGTATAAAAGGGTACGGGAGCAGAGAAGGGCAATTTTGGGGAGAGCAAAATTCCTAGAAAATGGGAGCTAGAGCCTCGTGATTTGACAAAATTATCGCTTCTTTGATGCCTCCATAAGAACGATTATTCAAGTACATAAGAAGACTTACCCAAAAAGTAAACCCTATATCTATGAAGTATCTAAGCCAGGTGTATTCAGATTTGAGATTTGAACGAAATGGCTATTTACATCGCCCTCCAAGTCTTATTCGTGACTTCTGTGAGCGTGTCGCAGTAGCGGTGTAATATCTAGGTGGTTTTGTCCAAATTTTCAGAAGTTTTAAACTAACAAAGCACAACCTTCACAGATCTTTCACTAGAGCTCCGTTAGGAAAAGGCTTGGCTTTAGTTGAGAAAGCAATGAGCGCAACATATAAAGCTAGATCATGCATTTAAACTAGGGTTAGGTGGTGAAGTGGCAAATAAACCGCTTACCAATCGCAGACACTTGGGAGCAACACAAATGCCATACAATCGAACTATGTCGGGATGGTCTAGGCTATTCATGATAGCGGCCTCCTTCAGGAAGTCGTCCATCTTTGTGGGGAAGCGTTCCAAGTCTAGAACCTTCACAGCCACCTGCAGTTGCCTACCCATGGACGCCGGCCGCCATGATCCCTAAAAAATTTGATTTATAAAAGGTCCTTTGTCAGTAGAGACCGACACTACTGAAATATTTCAGTAAAAAATCTGACAATGATGTCATGTCAAAAGCACGTCAGAACTAAATTCGCCAGATTGAATGCGATCATTATGTATTAGCAATAGCGCATCGGTCCCAGGCATGCACCACCTGATGTTTAATTATGATTGATTTAAAAAACCCAACCGATGCTACATTTGCACACTTTCCAGTCCTCAACAAGTATCTAAAAGGCTTCACTACAGATATATTTGTCTATACGGCTAAAGCGTTCCAGGAGGCTCCTTTCCACAACCTCCCAAAATTGAAAATGTTGTTAAATGACTATGCTCATCATTTCTGCAGATAGATTGCTCTTCTATGCAGTCAGCTGTCCTATAAACTGAATGATCACAGAAAACAATGCTGTGTAACGGGAGTCATTACGATGTACAACAGTCTTTAAAGCAGTGACATCATCCAAATATCCTTCTGCTAGGTGTCAGAGCGCCCCATCACCATCACTTGCAGCATTCCGCAGGCCTTTACGCCTTCGTTGATAAGAGATTGCGTTTATCACCCTCCGCAGATTGTTGCACGTGTACACTGCCACTGTTGCCTGGCGCCTTGACCAACGGTGTCTGGACTATCCCGTGTGAGGCCGCGTGCGGCGGTTAGCGGTGTTCGTAGAGGGACAAGCTTAGAACTTAGTACCACCACGGGGGCCCAAGTGTGGAAATCAGGGAGGAATTAAGAGTTTAGGTTTGATTTGAAAGCGCCCCGTACTCGTCTACATGCTCCTTTTAACTGTTTCAAAAAAGTAGAAATTTGTGTAATATTTTGAATGAGAATCGGGAGATGAGTTGGTGCAATAATATTTGGTGGCAAAAACAAATCAACTATTCACGTGCGTTCATCGACTGGGAGTTAAGGCGTAAAAGCATAGCGAGGCGCACCTGTTAAAATGAATGTGTTCGATGAGTTTGCAGTGGAATTCATGTACTCATTAATGCCACAAACATTCAGCAGTTTGAGAATCGGACAAACAGTCTAGTTCCGTTACCAATGGTTGAAAACAAGAATAGATTTCGGCACCATTATTAAAGAAGACGTCAAAGTCTCCGTACTTTTCGCACATTTATCACAGGCAATGTAGTGGTTTAACGGCTCAAAAGTAGAGCTGCACGAGACATGTAGGTGGTTTCACCAAGCCTCCGAAGGCGCTAGCAGCACGGTCGTTTCGCCATTCCTTCAAAAGGGTTGATGGTATGCATATCAACAGATGAAGTGCAAAAGGGACAGGAAGCCCACGAAACCCGATCACTCATAGAGTTTGCGAGTTACGATACTTTCAAATGACCAGACAATCCATGCATCAAGCCATATTGCGCCAGCAGACATCCAATTAGTAATGCAACAAAAGATGTTTGCTAAAATGGAAGGTATCTGGAGCTGGATTTTACAAGAAACATCTCATACCATGGTTGCATTTCATGGATCTAAAAATTGGATTTAATTCACCACTTCAATTCCCAAAGTGGAGTTCGAATGGTTCAAAAACCCAGACACAATACGAGCAGGAATGAATAAACGCAATTACATCCTAAGATGCAAGGGATAGAGGCTTATCTCAGCCTTCTAATCAGTAAAAATTGAAAACATCTAGCCGTCCATCACATTACTTCTTAGACCAAACTATCGGGAATGCAACAAAAACTGCTACTTTTTCCGTAACAGCGACTGATACGAACTGACTGCATGCGAAAACAAACTGACAGAAGTTACGCTTCTGCAATTCAATAGCTAGGCTGCAGTGGTAGTCAAGTGTGAGGGAATTTGCACACCGCAAAACGCATCAAGGGAAATTTAGTGGTCAAACTATATCGTTCACAGCAGGTAAACAGGTGTATCCCAATGTTCAATCAGCAGTCGACCAAAAGTTATGGGCTCGTTTCAAAATCAACTCCAAGAGTTAATTTACACTCATGCTGCAATTGGTACACCTAAGAATGTATACGACTTACTATTACGGCGCTGCTATGTACTGGTGCTTATTTCTTTGAACACAGACACTGTCGAGAATCCACTTAGAGTGATAAAGGAATGCGACTTCGAAAAAACGTGGCTTTTAATGACGACGACGTATGTTCAACCAGAACACAGTATCTGAGTGGACGTCCGTTAGCTGAAGTCCTGAGTCGTGGTTTGGTCTCATCTCCACGTATGCACAGGATTTTCGGTGACCTTGACATTACCGTGATTGTAAGTACACCAAGACCTTTTCTCCACATCATAGTAGTCACTGAAGAGAACTCGACAAGATTACAAATCGGGAAATATTGTAGGATGCCTGAAAAATCAAGTTCCGAAAAGGGGAGTTCCAGAGCGTTAAAGTAGGAAAGTCTTTCTGGGATCGTAAATATTCTCAGTAGGTTTTCAATAAGCTCACCAACGAAGGGGACAAAGAACCACCAGAGATGGAGGCTGATAAAGATATTTTTGACGAATGCTATGCAGTAGAACACGCTTGGTACAACCGCTTATCTCAGTCCACCTGTTTTTGAATCCAAGTCATAAGAAGTACAACTAACACCACTATTTCTACCGGTAGTTGTGCAAGAATGCTAACGGGTACACTTTTCTTGAGCCAACAAAAGCGAGAAACGAATGTGCATGAAAATGGGCTCTTAGGGTGGACCGGAGGTGGCAACCCCACTAAAAAAACAAACGCAACTGTTGACGTTAACGCCCTATGACGCCACAAATAGTTATCCCTCATAGAAAGGGATGACTAAGCGTTTCTCCCTTTCGCCTTAAAAGTGAACGAATTCTGCGGTGGTTTTGAAGCCAAAAGTAGAAATATGAGTTATGATTGTTACGAGCTTTACACAGGGCAACCTGAGAGGCCATTGGGAGAAAACGATCACACCCACATCCACCCTTGTTCCCTTTTCCGGCATGCTATTGCCACTTGGACAATAATGAGTGGACAGCCTGTGCATGTGTGATTGTTTTCGCCTACCGAAGCAAGACCTGAAAAGGTCTAGCACAATTATGATAGCGAAGCAACAAGTACACAGCTATGGAGTTATGGAACGGATAGCTGTCCTACTGAGGCTACCGTATTACAGCAAGAAAGGTGTAGGAAGAAGTGGTTTTAAAATAATCTTTAACTAGCGAAACTCTCGAGCTCGGTCCCAGAATCATAACGTGATGTACTATTCGAGGCTTAAACAGTTCAGTGAATCAGACTAATGCAGTGCTTTTTATGGTAAAATAGTGGAATGCAGTATCTCACACATGCAAACAAACTGAAAATATCTATACATCTGAACTAATGATTAAGTTCACTAGTGCATGTGAGGAGAGATGAGCAGGCAGAATTGCGTGTGGTAGACAGTCTATGCACGGATTGAATGCACATCACTAAAAGTAGATATAGGGCAAAATTATTCATATTCGGACAAGAAGAAACTTTTCAGACGATTCTCGCCAATGCGTTTTTGTTAACTTGGTTTACCAGTGTAAGTAGCAGATAGGCCTATTTCACATTTACACTGCTGACTGTATATTGCACCAAGGCATCTGTTGTGGGTGGCTGAATCTATGGAAATCACGTCGGCCTTACGCAATCACCCCAGTCCTGAGTCTCTTGCAACAGTAAGACTCGATTCAATGTGAACGGATTAAAAAGGCCTCGTAAACCCTACAACGTCTTCGTGGATGACCGAAGCGTTGCATTGGTAGAAGGTGCAAACAAACTCACTCCAGAATAATAATCACCCCGAATGCACTAGCTGCATAGTACACTGCAACATCGCAAAAGAAAAGTATTGCAAAGAGTCAGGACCCATTCATTCACCTTTGTTGCCTGATTGGTAGTAGCAGCAAGGCTGATGAGTAACACATGAGCGGGTGAGTTTATAGAAGGCCGGATTCTGGGCTGGTATCACTCCACGCGTGTGATTCTACAGGCACACAACCTAGTCTCTCATTGGCTGCAGAGCGAAGATGACGTGAAACGCAATTGGAGGGTTGAAAAGGGAGAGGAGACATTCTAAAGGACGCATCAGAGCAAGAGGGAACAAAGTCCAATCAAAGCAAAAGAGCATTTGTCTCTGTCCATTTATGAGACGGAGGAGTTGCTTGCAGTCCTGTTTGAGTGTTCAAGTAGTTCAGAAAAATGAGGACGTGATGCTCTCAACTAACCATTCCTCAAAGGAGGAAATAGGAGGGGGGGGGGGGGAGGATTCTAGCAGTGTTGGGTGGGGGAAAAGAGTGACCATGCCTTCAAATGGTTGAGCTGTGCGGATATGAGGAGAAAAGTGTGATGATGTGACCTTATAACTAAAGAGAATGTCATCTCTTGCAAATGTTCAGCCAAAATGCCTTGTGACATTTACGACGGGAATACTCCTTCCTCCCAATGATATGCCATGAGTGTCACATCTAACGAAACGACACGGTCCAAGGGAGGATAGTGGTGAAAGGTTGCAGATAGCCTGTTCATATGCAAGGGAAGCTACTACAAAACCATCAAAAACACGAAAGCGTTAAACACATTAGTGCAGAAGAAGGACATTTGCTTACATTTAAACATTTGCATTTTCTCACGTTTGGGTGACTACGCCAGTGGTGTAAGACTCTTCCCATTCCGCCTTTGGCATACTCGAACGTGTGACGAATTCTTTAGAGATGATTGCATTGCTACACTAATGATGGTGTGATGGGATATGGCGGAAACCTTATTCTCCAAAATGAGTACTACCTCCTCCGTTGACAAACCTCAATGGGTCACCCGGTTACCATGGAAGGAAATAACCCGTGAGTGGCTAACTTTCTAGAAGCGTAGCACAGGGAGCATTTCCGGGTTGCGTCATGTAACAGAACGAGTTCTATGGTTAATGAGCAAATACGGTCTCACGAAAAGAGAATGACAAACAATCCGGAGACCTAACACTGATGTTTAAAGAACCCGATGATGGCCTACACAGTCCCGGTTAGCATCAAAATGATAACACAAGGTGAAAAAAGGAATGAGTTCACGACAAATCCTAGGAATCCTGCTACAAATTTGCTTTAAAAAAACATGATTGGCAAACGGAACTTACTTTCTAGCCTTGAGCGCCACTTAACAACCGATTCTCTACAAGGCAATTCTCAGGCGCTAGCCTTCCCATCGGAATGCACCAGATGCATGAGGCGAGATTAGGGAACCTTCCCCTTGCGATAGGAAAGCGTAGCACAATTTGTCTTCCTTTCTTGTGAGTTATTTAAACTCATTGAATACCACTGATGTAGCCAATACATAAAAGCAATTCCAAGAAAAACAGGAATGGAATATTTTCACTAATGCATTATTACGCCCTACAGACACCACTTATGCCAGCAAAAACGCCTTCAGACTCGTACACCTTGCAATGTCTCCAGAGGTAACTCGAGTGCTGCGCTACCGCAGAAGAACGTCACCAATACGATTCTAGGAGTATGAAGAACTAATCTAAAACACCACAGTCCTTGTGCAACAATACAATCATCGCCAACTTGGTTGCAAGACGAAGAAAAACCTTTTTATTGTTTTTGCGCATAGGGTTCAAACGGGAACCGATTCACACACATGCACGACCGGGGTGGGGCAGACGGAAGCGCAGGCGGCTAACAACGATGAATTTGAAGAAAACGAAAGGCCATCAGAAGCAACTCCACTACCTGCACAACAATAATGACTCACCCTGGAATTAAATTGAACATAAATACGACTTCGGATCTCTTACGTTGAGCAAAAGTTTGTCATAAGCGGCTGAGGCATTCGTGACTAGCGAAAGTGGCCGGCAGGAGTTGGTAATTAAACTCTCTCGATGCCACTTATGTGAATAGCATATCAACGAAACGCGATGGAATTTACAAGTCTAAAATCTACGAACTAAAATCAACCTGCACGATCCAATGCCACAGGGTACGAGCACAAAAGCAAAATAAGGTAGACAACATCGTAAATGATCGGGGAACTGATGAATTCCTTGCTTAAAAATTAGCAAATATGCCCCCCAACGAGTATTGTGAAAGGAGAGAATAAGCTAGAGAAACTGAGTCTTACAGTTTTGAGATTAAGCGGGTGCATAAACAAGGGAAAAAAGTATTACCACCCGATTAGCCGAAACAGACGGTAATGTCGTTAGCGCCGGACAAAGCTGCTTCATCATGCAAGGAGAATGGGGTGGCAGTAGTAGTTTGCATCAAGGGCTGGGTGAGTCACTGGGGGTAAAATAGATGTTTATGTGAATCACTCACCATCGTTAAAAACACCAACAAAATCGGTTTTCCAGAGAAGATCATGCGTTTTTTGGCCACGGAAGAACCTATTACACTTTACCACAACACTGAACACGTCGGCTTAAGGGCATTCTGTTTAGAAATTCTTAATCTCACCTGAAGGAATGGTACTTATTTGACAATTTGATTATTCCAAGTGCCACAAAGACGCTTTTCATTCAGTCCACCTGATTGACTGTCGAATTTAGCAAAGCGATGTTTATTTTAATGATACATTCAAATATGAGGCGCTCTAGTATCTACTCCACATCTAAAGCATCTCAGGTCTGCCCTGTGCATAAATGGTAGAATGGTTTCCCATGCTGGGTCTTTAGGAATGCCTTGGAGCACAACAGTGATGGCAGCCATGGATTGATCGAGCTAGATGAACAACAATTTTGATGCCGTTGCTTACACGCTTCGCGAACCTAAGGTAGGAAAGATGTCGGTCGTGGATGGCAAAATCTACGGAGACTCACAACAGAAGGGTTGTTGAAACCGCATAGATTGTCGAAAATCTATCCAATTTTAAGCTCTACATAATGACAAGTAATGGGACCTGACCTAAACAAAGCTGAAAAATCATTTTGACAACGTAATGCGATTTTGTTACTGAAACAGCTATTAAAAGCAATTTCTGAAGGTACGACACTTCCTTTACGGTGCTGGTGTTGGAAAGATGGTTACTTTCAAAGGTAATGACATTCAGAATACGAACACCACTGAATATCGCCTCGTCTTAAGTACTACTTCTTAGATGAATCCATCCCATATACAGCTCGTCCCGCGGATGAAGCAATATTGAAGAATCCAAACTAAATCCACGACAGGTACAGTCAGAGATGGACTAGGGTTCCCCTTGTGCTGTAATTGATCATATCGTCCTCGAGCCTCTCCTGGCTACTCGACTACTCGCAGTGAGATCCGTGACGGCTGGAATCGGATAGAGATCACGGGGAGTGACGAGGACAAAGATACAAAAGAACAGAACAACGTAACAAACATGAAAATTATCTTAGCTTTTTAATTACATGGTCTCTTTAGTCCAAACACGATCTTGATGCCATGATGATTAATATAGGCCTATGGCCTGCCAGACCATCGGTACATTGACAATAGTGCTTATTCATACATGTTTGCACTAACGCATCTTCAGGGATGGATTGGATTACATTTATCTCAAAGAAAGTTGCTCAACACGTTTGTTTGAGCTCAGCGACAAATCCATGGTTCAATTGATCTCACTGATAGGGTCTAATTAACCTAGATGCGAAATCTCACACCTAGTCCGTGCATTCACCTTTCCCGTACACAACTACAACCGGCCGATCGGTCAAGTTGCACTAGTGCTACAGTGCATTTATCTTTTTTCCATGTGCCAAGTGTGGTGCATTGACTTTTCGCCACTTGCCCGAACTAGGGATCGCAAATCCTAGCTTAAGCACATACAGGATCCCATCCCAACACAAACGTGGTTCTATGCACATCAACATATGCATGCACATATAGATGGGGCGTGATAAGAGGTGAATGAAAAGGTCCTTTTCTTGGGAATAAAATTAACCTCCTTGGTTCTAGATCCAAATGAGAAGATTCAATCGTTCTTAAAAAAACATTTGAAAATTTTAGAAACAGAGTTAAAATCAGAGCTAGACTTTTGGACGCTAAAATAGGCAGCTGATAAAAAACGAAATGTGAGTGTAGACATGCATTCCAGACGGACTTTTAGATAGATAAGCACCAACGTGTGAGACGGTGTAGACTTGGGGGAGATGAATTGATGGAAGAGTTATTGCGGCGTGAACTCATCGCCCGCAGGAACATCAGCTGCATCCCCCACTCAGGGGATTCTTCTACTTGGAGAAGAAGTTAAATAAATTCGTTTTTTCACAAATCCATGAGAATATACATGGCAATTTCCTTGGGTAAAATCGCCCTGATGAGACACGTCGAACATAAACACAAGCACTAGGCGAATCCATGCTGTCGCAATGGTGTCTTAAAGGCAGTTCAAACATAAAAAAGCATAACACACAATATGCAACATTCTAACCATCAATTTTAAAACGAGGACAGATTTGGAAGGCGGAATTCAAAATATGGAATAGATTTGGAAAAGCCAAGGTTAGTCTCACTTTTATCGCGTGTGTACTGATATTTGAGACAATGTACACTGGCGGAAAACCCATATAGCTGAATAGCTTTTGTAAAAATATTAACACCACATGAGAGCCAAATAAACATAAACAAAAGCCTCAGCTGATCCATACTGTACTATAGGCACTTCAAACCGCCTCACACCTCCCGTAAATCGACAAACCGGAATAGGCCGAGAGTGAAACAGGGACTTGCCTGATGGACGCGGCCGAATTCGCCCTGACCCAAAGGGCTGGTGAGTTCGAGTTCAAAGGCAGGAATTATCCGGTAACCGGAGACGCCACTACTGTCACTGAAAATGCTCTCTCTGTCGTCTGCCGGCGGCTCAGTGGACGCGCGCTGATGTCGGGGTGGGGGTCTGGCACTGGTTGAACGAGCGAATTTCTGAAAGAAAAAAAGGCGGCAAAATGTCAGTGACACGACTAAGCGAATATGCATTCTAGTGAAATTTGGTTTGATTTGACATTCGACTGCATAGGAATTTCCCAACTTCCCACAACTTGGTTACCACCCTGGAGGTATGGCGTCCCTGCTTATGCCACCTGCTTACTGGTCACTTAACACCTCTGTAGGTTAGTAAAAAACCTGCTTTCAGAATGGCATGCCTTCCAATGTCCTCAGGGGTAACTTAAGCACAAAATGCGATTGAATAAACATAGAGGAGGAGATGTACGGCAATACACAACTTGCCATCTTTTACAATAACAAATTAATGCATGAGCAGAAATAGTGCAAAGGTCCGAAGTTGCCAGCGCATCAGCACAAGAAATACAGTTTACTTTTAGCCACTTTTATTTAATCATTTGTTAGGATCAACAACTAATCCACTAACTAATTTCACTTGGGCACGAGCAAAACATTAATTAAAGTGGATAAATTGTGCAAGAATTGACTACAAGTTTAATGAGCTCGTAAAATTTGTTCCAGCGCACACAATTGCAACGTTTATCACTTATTTAGTTACCCGATGCGAGGCAGACATGGGGGAATTAGACGGTTTTAATGTGTCCAGGGTACAGCAATACCAAAAAAGATCTTCCATAAAATAAGATTTGGACTGCACATTTGCTTAACCACAAAGCAGAAGCCATGAGGAATTAGGTAGGTCGCACTTATATCTTTTTCAGTATTGCGTTGTTTGCAGGAAAACGCATTTATACTTGTGCCCGAGCAAGAATAGCCGGCTTAATCCACAGAGATGTTAGGGATCGAGAGGTACTGGAAAGAGGCAAATAGGACTATAGAGGAACCTGAAATAAAATGCACTTTTCCGGTATTGTCGGACCAACAATCATGGGTTGAAGTAAAATTACACAAAATGTATGGTACCAAGGAACACATGAAGATGAGGGCAAGAAGTTACCTTTTTTAGTTTGCCCATGGCCGTTTGCGGACACTCCTTCTCGAAGCGCCTCCTAAGGCGGCGTACCTCAGGCCGACTCATCCCCATCTCCGCGAGCTCAACGTCTGTCACATACTTCAACTGATTCACTGTCCGAATCTAGCAGAGAGAAATAACTAAGCTAGTTACTGGAAAACAATTCAGTATACCGGCACATTTTTAGCTTATGTGGCCTCTCCTATCCCCTTCCAATTACAGCCAGTTACTTAATGCATTCACCACCAGGGTCTCAGAGGACAATTGGTCAGCACAAACCATGTGCTCTCTCATTCTAACAGGACACCAGTTTTCTTTATTTGATGTCCCTCGCCAATCCAACTCAGTCCCATGTAACCGGATGTGTCACGCATATGTGGCGCGGTGGGCCAGGAGAAAAAAATTGGGGCTTCATACATGAAAAACTGTGGACGAACGCGTTAAGGTTTTACATTGGAGCTCGATCGCAAGCATATAAAAATCTCTCAAAATCAAATAAAGATTCTGCTTACCAGATAGGAGTGAAAACGTTTTAGATTCAAAGGAAAAAAGGTCAGTTTCAGAGGTTACAAGGCTTGAAGCAAGCGTAACTAGAATAAGTGTCTTTGACAGTTTAAACTAAAAAAATATGCAAATGTCAATTATGGCACCCATGAATGATGACTGAGGTGCATTTGTCGTCTAGACTGAATTATCCTGACTTCTATAAATGTATAGTAACGGTTATTCAAAGTTGAATATGAATTGCAAACCTACCTTTTAATGGCTGGCATAACCCACTAGTCGCTAGGATAACTAAGGTTTATTAAAGGATTCTCAGTCCCTTTGGAAAAGGTTGTTTTAATATGGCTTCCCCTTACCCTAGGAAAGGCATCAATTTTTTTAGCAAAAACAGAAATCGTGTGGCCAAACGAAAGCCGTCTTCGTCAATCATATTACCCCAATAAACATCACCTCCTAATAGCTAGATTAGGGGACGAAGTAGTTTTGCCTTAAATGTGAAATCCTAATCCAGGAAATATGGCAAATAAACATGCCTTGAATAAAACTTGGAATCATTTAAAGCTAAAAGCCGAACGAGTTTCAACACTACTGGATCTCAGTGATTCGTATAGATGGATCTCGACTACTTCCTCTAATTAATTCCAAGAAACAATCAAAATAAAAGCCATCCCAACCAAGAAATAAATAGCAGACTGAAAAACCGAAAACAAATAACGAAACGAAACAATCCTCACCATTTCACGTGCCAATCTAACGACCAAAGCCGTTTCCATCTTAAGCTGTCTAAAGATATAGCAAGACGATCGCATTGGCCTAATCAGTTTCGAATCTAAGTTAACATTACACTACCCAAAATTAGAAAGTTTAAATCTTATAGCCCTAGAGAAAATATCGTCAGACCGTATTGCCGCAAACCGCCAGTTCCCTTGAGCCGAATGCTAAGCTAGGCTGATTTGCTGCCCCTAAAGTGATATTTCGCGTCTGAGGGCACGGGAAAAAGCGTGGCAGTGGGTGGAGTCTGCGTGGGCGAGTAGTCGTCCGGCTTAGCCGAGGCGGCGATGGACGAGGAGGCTGAGTCACCGACCAACACGCGAGCTCACGATGTGCTCGCACCAGTGTCTCCTGCAGACAACCAGCTCGGGCACAAACGCGAGAAACACATCGTTCAAGCACTAAGCATACCGCCTAATCACACCGTTGGCACAAGGCTCGGTATTAGTAACATGCTTTAAACACTTGATCAATTGCATGTCGATTCTCAACCTGCTGCTGTCCGAGTTACATCAATGAATATTATTTATTCAAAAGAAGGAATGAAAGAACCCCAGAAGAACCAAAATGCTACTCAAAATCGATCAAGTTGGAGCGCACAATGACGAAATGATTTCCAGGCCAAAGTAGTGAAATAATGGTTCAGAAAAAAACTCCCATACCATTAGCGTAGTGATGGTATCATCAGCCTTTGCACTCAAACAAAGGAATGAAAACGTATTTAAGACTGATTGAAATGGAATGAGTGAATAAGTGATGAGGTCTAATTTATCACCATCCCATGCACGTCAGTGTCAGTGTCAAGGGCATAAAAAAATCACTCGTGCCCGTGCAACCACTTCGTCAGATGGGTGAGGTCAGTCTGAAAAGTAATGTCAAAGTCGGGCCAAAGCTTCACCTTGGTAACGGATGTAGATACGTATAAAACGACTTATCAGCTGTAAAACTAACAGTTTTAAATGATGTCCCACGGATACGATAACGCGTAGAGGCGAAGAAAAATCGCACATAATTCATAACAATTACGACGATGGTTTGAAATAAACAATCCAATAATAAACAATTATTGAGGCAAAATAAGTAACGAATGGGTTATCGTACCATCAAAAATTAATATGAATGAGCGACGAGTGAAATCGAAAAACCAATATCGTATAATTTGGTAAAATTTAGGAGAACACATTTGTTCCCTTGAATACAACCAAGATGATATGATGCTGCACAGAGAAGTATTCCGCAGACAGCTAAGTGCCCAGCTCATTTTCAATGTTTAATAACGGAAGTTAATAAACAGATGTTTTGCCACTTTTACTGGCAAATGTAAACTTAGGTTGAGGGCCAAATGCTCATTTCCAAGATGGAGGCAAGAAAATATTTCAGACGTTTTCTTAGTAAAGGACGGAAATCAGTAAATAAATTATTGAGAGGCACGACAGAACACAGATCAAACTCTGATTCTTGTTCCCATTATAAGTAAATACTTTCGAAATTCTTCACCAACGTGTTTCCATTTCTAGTGCTAAAGAATAAATCTTAATGAGTGAACAGTTTACATCTTCATGAAAATAATGTTAAATGGCTTAACGCTGATAATGGTAATTCACAGAGCTAAAATGATGCAGATAAAGTTTATGAGAATGCCTATACCTACAGGAGGGCAAACGATGACCACACATTAGGATCGATGATGGTGCGCGTTAATACTGAGGCGTGACAAAATTCACGATGAACTGGTTCACAAACTAGAGAATTACATTTTTCGCCACAATTCCAAGCATGTAAAGGTTCAAGGAAATAAGTAAAAGTCCCGGTAGATAACTGAATATTAGAAACCAGAACTGTGCCAATTAATCGTTAGAACGTGAACACTAAAAGATGCACGAGTCACTCAGGAAAACCGAAGAGTGGTTTACCTTTAGGTGTTTGCTGAACACTGTGTAGTATTCTTCCAAATCAGCAGCCTTCAGGAAGTCATATAAATCCTGACAGGAGTCACGCTGATCCTCTCTCGAGCGTCCACAGGCCGCACTACCACCGGTGCCGCCTCCCCAGCAGTGATCCAGTTCGATAGAAGAGGAAGAAGGATTCTGCCGGTAGCAAATGCGTTGATGCAGAGGGGAGAATTGGTTGGAAGCGGTGGAGGCCAGTGAACTCGTGGTCGAAGGTCGACGCACGAAGAGGAGGCTGGAAACTGAGGAAGTGCGTTGGAGGGCAAGTCTGTCGCTGCTACCGCGGTTTTCGAGGTTTCCTGTCTGATGGTTGGGCGTCAGCGATGTAGAATGGGGCTGCGATAGCATACCCAGAGCCTTGAAGAGGAAATATACTCATACTAAAGGGCTCAGAAGTTGCAATGATATGAAACAGGACATGTTATTTACAAGGAAAACAACTTCGACAGAAAAATTAAGGATCAAGAGACAAAATAAGGAGGTCCAGAATAAGAACAACTGCTTAGACCAACCTACAAACACCATTAAAGAATCGAGAGTACATAATTTACCCAAATTTGGTAAGCTGACGCATATTTTAAGCTCACCAAGTTATCTACTGGAAGTGTTGATTTAATAAGCTAAGCAGACAGATGCAAGAAATCGGATAAAGTGTGGATGTTGAAGTAACTTCAATAGATTAGTGAAAATAAAATAAGTCGCATTTGCGGAAAACAAAGAAGAAAGACGGACTAAAACAAACAAATGACTTTCAAACCCCCCACGGACTTGAAATACGCGGTTAACGCGCACCTACTGACTAACCAATAGGACAGCCCAAGAAACAAAGTATGACCTTTATTTGCAACTGGTAGTTAAAAGTGCGTATATCTCATCATGTATTTAATCTCAATTAAATAAATCCAATGTCCATAATGGTAATAATTAGAAATGACACAATAAGCACCTAAACATAGCAGGTTTTTTTATCACATCTAAGGACGAAGATTGGTACCACTGAAATGTCAATAGTCGGCAAAATGTGAATTTATTTCATCACTTGTGTTTAATTCTTTTGGCTTGAAGACATTATATGCCACAGTAGCTATATACTTTTGGCTTCATATTTAAGCATCAGCCAATGTATTCTTACTCAAGCGAACAACAAATGTTTCATCCCGTTTCAAGGAACGACTTTCATTATCTTATTGAGTTTTGTTATACTTTTTGTGCGACTGTCCTTAAACGTTACTGCCTTTGACTCATACTATATATGGAAAGTTACTCGTCCGGAGTTTCAAATAAATCGAATTATAGCTCACACAAATTTATGAAATTATGTAAAGTTCACCAAACCAGACTACCAAAATACTGAACTAGCTCAGAACTAACATGCACATTATTTCAACAAATGTCAAAATACTCTATACACAGATTTTGCGTATGAATTCTTCATTAGCACTGAAAGTTCGTAAATTTGTTAGAGCACGTTATTGTTAGGACTTCCATTAACTTTTGCTGTTATTTCATGCTTTATTCCTGTTTAGTCTACTTCTACAGATACCAAAATAAATGAAGAGCTTTAATTTACCGAACAAATGGTCTATTCTCACATAAGTAAAACAAGCAAATTCACAAAAATGGACAAAAATACCAAAATAAATATTTCAAACTAACATACATACGTAACTCAACACGGTAACGAAACCAAATCGCATGTAATGATGTTGGTGCTGTGGACTAATGCTTTGAAATCCTTAGTCGCGGTAGACTGGCAAGTCCACACTTGGAACGAATATCATTAGCGAGAGCTCCAATGCTCACACGGGGCCGGGAGATCTCGTAGTTGCACAGCTCTTCTAGCGACATTTGGCCCTCGGAGCCGTTGAGACGGCGAAAGACGGTGGCGATGGAGAGGATTGGACGATTAAGAGGCACTGGGCAGGCCTCGAGGAGCAGCTTCTTGAAGGCCAGGTGACGCCCATGCTGTTCATCAAAATTCACCTCCAAGCAGCGCCAGTCCATGGGACAATCAATGGCTCGTGGGTCCTCGGGAGGCAGAAGAACTACTTTGCAGCGGCAAAAGTTCTCGATGCGCAGGATTTGGCGACTTTTGTAATAGGTGCTCACTATGGGATCGTAGGTGCTGGGCACGAAAAATATCTGCCTGATCACTCGTCCTGATCGCAATCGCTAAAGTTGATTCGATGGCACAATTAAATCCATAGAATTGTGTCATAGCTAAGTGGAATTATTAAGATATTTTAATAGTGGTTATTAAGCGCTGCGATTGGATAAAGGAGCAGATGCTAATTTAAGTTTTGCAAGACCGCTTTAGGTGCTTATTCAGTCCACAGCGTTCCCAAATTTCGCATCCAATAAGACATCTTCAACTTATCCGCTGCCATTGTTTTAATGTTCCAGAATAATACCAGCTGTGGTAGTATTTTGACTGTGTTAACTACTGTTCAACTAAAAAGCGCGATTATTCCACCCCATAAGTCTACTTTGTTGTGATTTCATTTCAAACGAGCTGTTTGCATTGTACGGTTTTGTGCATGTAACATCGGGACTAGACACGATAATCGGAGCGACGCATTTATCGTGGGCCGGTAGCGAACCTGCTAATAATCTTCACTAAGACCATAGGCGATTTTAAGAATAGTACAGTCCTTTATTCCGACTGAAAGCACCTATTTCGTTAGGGAGGTGGTGCAATTTGACCTTTCACTTACTTTTGCTTGAGGGAGATCTTTGTCCCGTAGTTTCAGTTATCATCGCTACATGTTTATTCAGTCAGAACTATCGGTTGTATTTACAAAAAGCGCGAATTCATTCGTTTGGTCTTGTTAACTTTACCTGCCTTAGGAATCTAAATCAGCAGGCTTCTAATTTTCGCTTCCTCCTGAGTAATTATACAAGACTGGCTTCATTTGCTTGTTCACTGAAAGACAAGGTACTGGCCTTACTTTCTTGACACAAAGGTGACGAGATTTTATTATATTATTTTGAACCCGCCTTTATAAAAATGGGTATTATAACGTCGCATACACCTTCCTACTTTTCGTGTAATTTTGACGAACGGAGATTCACCTGCTCTATTCGAGACTAACACCCAAATTTTATGCAAAACTTTGTTTTCTTTTGAATCTGTTGATTTTGAGAAGAAATTTCAAGTTGCTAAAAAACTTCTCCACTTGGGCTAAACAGTTAATGGAGTAAACCGTCGAACTTACGTATAATCGGGTCTGGATTTTATGAATCAAGGTAACAAAGCAGGTCGGTATAAATTCCTCATTGAGAAGACGCCCGATTTCGTAAAGGAAGTAGCCAAATTCAATCATCCTTACAAGCACAAAGGCGGGTTGAACTTCCAGCTCTTCGAGCAATTGGTCCAGGCCAGTATTTAGCGAAAGCATTTCCTCCTCGTATGGACTATAACGAAGGCACTTGAGCATATTTAAAAATTTCTCGTGAAACTGCTGCATCAGGCACAGAATTTGACTGCACAAGCTGAAGTCTCTACACGGGATCAAATCGACGGCCTCGCTTAGCCGTTGGAATAGGGTGCCCACAACTTTGTACATTTCCCGTATGTGACATATGGACTTGTCTGTTATTTTATTTGACCTTGCTTCTGCAGTTTCATTTGCACCCGTGTAGACCTCACAAAATCGACTCGATTTGCCAATTCGACCTTGGTATAATCCGGGTGTTCCTTCATCAGTAGCTTCATCAATCTTCATCAATCCTGGATCCGGTGACCGGAGCTTCCACGAAGGCGTCATTTGTGACCGAGCAATCATTTTATTGAGGTTCTCTCGTGGATCTACGTTAGTTGCCCGATGGCTGCGCAGGGAAGAACATGGTATCTTACTTTTGCGAAAGCCTTCTACTACCTCGCAGACATCTTCAAAAGTTCTATCATTGTCACACACGTCATTATTAAGAATTGGGACACATTGGCCTGTAACTTCCCTCTCACACACTTTGCAACTTCTGGAGCAGCATTCATCTGTAGGCATTTTGGCATTTAGTGGACAACATTCATCGTCGCACAAGGTGCTACTTATATCAAAACGGTCAGCAGTGAACTTTTTATTGAGTTTGCAGCACTCATCGTGAGTGCCGACACCGGACTCGCAAGTTGGTGGTGCATCACAAGAGTCGCCATCCTCTTCGTTGCT